ATCACATAGTTTGGATTGAGGACTTGGAGACATAAGACTAGAATTGGAAATGTGACTTCCCCGCAAAGTTGTTTTTATAGTGCTGGAAGGTGCTGCTAAGGTAGTCTTTCTCAGCAGTAGGAAATAATACAGGCCAGACAATAAAATAGTGACAGAAGTAGCTATGGACAGATCAAACTTTCTGATTGGACGTAAGGCCTGATCTACAGGGAGAAATTCACATCTGATAATTGACACTCAGACAAAAACCTGTGGCCAGTGATGTCCTAGGCACTAATGAAGAAGCAGCTGCTACTGTTTTGTTAAATAAATATTCACTGCCCAACATTTCTGTAGTGTCTGTAATCAGGTTATTACTCACTTGGTATCTAAATGCTGTATCCATTTCCCATTTTTTGTCCTTTTCCTCACATGTTTTCATAGGAGGAATACCCACAAAGACTTGCCAACACTCATGTTGCAAAGATGGAGGAACTGAGAGAGGGCACAGGGGATCAGTGCCACGCTAAAGTTGGAGAGAATAGTCAGACATCTGTGTCACCTCATTTGAGGCTCACAGACCCTTGTGGAAGAGAGGGACAGGAAATAAAAGGAGCAAAGGAAAGCCAGAGTGTGATACAAGACTATTCTCCAAGCCAAACTGCCACCATCTTCATGAATCCAGCTATATCTACTTGCAAAGGCCCTCCCTGCTGGGCATGTTTGATTGTTGATGTTCCCTCACAGAAGGAAGGGCTGAGAGGATCATGGAACCCTCACCCAATGATGCAGCCACTCCACCCAATCAGTTGTAGGCAATTTTGTCCTACTTGAATGTGGCCTTGGGGAAGGAAGAGTATATAAGAAGAGGACTAGGGAAGCAGGCTCCATCTACACAGCCATAAAAATGGTATCGCCCATGCAGAGTGCTTCAAAGTCACCCATGTGCCTGTCTTCACTCACTGTGCTAGATAGTTTTGTATCAACTTGACAAGTCAGAGTAATTTTGAAAGAAGGAACCTCAACAGAGAAAATGCCAGGCCTGTGGGCAAACCTGAGGTGTTTTTGTTTTTTAACCTGATGATTAATATGGGAGGGTGAGCCAAGTTCATTGTGAACAGTGATGGGCCTTGGACAGATAGTTCAGGATGCTTTAAGAAAGTAGGTAGAATAAGGCATGTAAGCAAGTAGAACCTATCTATGGTTTCTGTGCCAGTTGCAACTCCCAGGGACTTAGATCTCCTGCCCTAGGGGGAGATTAGGCTACCTCTGTCCACTCATTCCTTACAAAAGACTGACTACCAAAGAAACTACCAAGTTTATAGACTTTCTTACAGAACAAGAGTGTAATAGGAGGTCCTGGACTGCTATCCTAACCCTAACCCCAACCTTAACCTTAAATTCAACCTTAACCCCAACATTAAATCTTTCCTCCAGAGAAAGTGTCACTAAGAATTTCAACTGTTTCTTCGGTTTTGCTCTCATGGTACATGCCCTAAAGCTAAACAGACTGTTTCCCTAACACGAATATTAACCCCAAGCTTCCCCAGAACCCTAACCATAATGCTGACTCTAACACTGACACTGACACTAACCCCTAACTGTAACACTCTAACTCCAATAATACCACTAACCATAACCCTAAATCCAAGACTAACCCAGACCATAACCCAAATAGTCAACTTTCCTGCTTATGAGAATTATTCCTACAAGACGAAGTACAGAAGGGTATTACAGTTGTTTTGCCGGCTTTCTTTTCAGGAGGCATGCCACAGAGCTAAGTTGGAGGTCACAGAATGTTTACCTGACTCAGTACATAACTCCAAACCATAATTCTAATCACAACCCTAACCCCAAGTCTAACCCTAACCATAATCACACACTAACATTAACATAAACCCATACCTGATTCACCACAATCATAACCTTAACCCTAAATACAACACAAACCCTAACACTAACCCTAACCCTTATTCTAACACTAGTGCTAACCCTAACCCTAATACCAATTCTATCCCTAACCTCAACCCTAGTCCAACACCAACTCTAACACTAATCCAAGCAAAAATCCCAACTATAAACCTAACACTAATCCTCATGCCAACCATAACCCTAACTACAACCACAAGCCTAATTTTAATGCCAACCTTAACACAAACCGTATCACAAACCCTAAATCTAAGACCAATGCAAACCCTAGCTATATACCTAATACCAAAAAAAAAAAACATAACCCTAACACTAAATCCAACCCTACAACTAAATTCTAAGAGCAAACCTAATTTCAATCCTAACCCTAAAACTAACTCAAACCCTAACACTAACCTGAACCAACACTAACCCTAACCTAATGCCAACCCTAACTCTAATCCCAACCCTAATCCCAACACTAATTCCAATGCTGGGTCTAATAACCAGAACACTTACTCCAACCCTAACTGTAATGCCAACCCTAACTCTAACCTCAACTCTAACACTAACTCCAGCCCTAGCCCTAACCCTACAGACAGCTTTCTGCTTTTTTGAATCTTTCCTCAAGAAGTACCTGGAGGTCTTTCAATTGTTTCTCCTGTTTCCCTCTCAGGGTGCATGCCCCAGAGCTAAGCTGGAGGTCAAGGACTGTTTCCCTAACCCCAACCCCAACCCAAATCCTGGTTAGGGTTGGAGTTAGGGTTAGGGCAAAAATTCACTTGGCATGAAGGTTCTAGGTCATCCTAGGCAACACAAACCAGTTCTCAGAATTAAAAAGTGAAGTTTAACAAGAGGGCTGGAGATAGAACTCAAGGCAGTGCTTACTAGCATGTTTAAGGCTCTGGCTTTAGCCTCCAATATCACACTCCTCTGCCATCACCACCCCCAAAACAGAAAAAAAAATTACAAAAGGAGGTACACTCCTAAAACTGCAAAAAGAAAACACAAAGTTTGGCTATAGTCTTCCAAAATTCCTGCATGACTTCTCAATTGAACTTTCATTTTAAAATATAACTGCAGCACAATACAAAAAAAGACATAAATCATTTTGTGTGCTGATGCCAGAACCCTTTTGTATGCTGCAAATATGTTTTATTACCATTAATTAATAAAAAAGCTATTTTGGCCTATGGCAGGAGGGAAAGCCAAACTGAAGGGAGGAGAAAGCAGAGTCCATAAAAACATTAACAGCCACCAGAGCTGAGTACAATGTCAGAGTTTTACTAGTAAGCCTCGGGGCACATGGTGATATACAGATTATTAGAAAACGGTTAATTTATATGTAGAGCCAACCAGTAAGAAGCCTGAGCTAATAGGTCAAGCAGTTTGTAATTAATATCTTAATATTAATTATTAATATTAATTAATATTAATAACCTCTGGTGGTTATTTTAAAAGCAGCTGCAGAACCAGGCAGGATAAGAAACCTCCAGTTACAGTATGTGGTAGTTTCAAAATAATAGTTTTCAATACTCTTTTTCATTTATTTATTTATTTAGGTTTTTGAGACAGGGTTTCTCAGCAGTTTTGAATTATTAGTTTTCAAGACTCTTTTTCATTTATTTATTTTTTTTCTTTTTTGAAGAAGGGTTTCTCAGTAGCTTTGGAGCCTGTCCTGGAACTAGCTCTTGTAGACCAAGCTGGCCTCAAACTCACAGAAACCCTCCTGCTTCTGCCTCCTTGAATGCTTGGATTAAAGGCATGCGCCACCACCACCCAACTTCAAGACACTTCTAATGGAAACAACTTGACCAAAAATCTACCACAGAATTTTGAGATTCATTAAAATGAGTTTAATGTAGAAAGACTATATCTTGTAACTTAAATCACACTGAATTCACAAGAAGAGACCAAGGGACTGAAATATGAAGAAAATAGCTGCATTCTTAATTAATTCATCATAGATTACACCTACTGGATCTTACACAAGTTTATACTGACTTAATCTACTAAGAAGTTAAAACAAATTGTGGGTGCTTTGTTCCTCTTCTAAAGAGATGCAGTAGCTAGAAAAAGAATTCTAGTACAAAAAAATACTACTAAAAATCGGGAACACCTATATTTTAAAGATTTCTATTATGAAGCCTAACTTTTGTTCTTATGTATGATAATTATTTTTAAACTATAAATATGAATTTAATGTGTTTATCGTTTCAGAATTTAAAATTGTTTCCTATCTTACATTGAGGAAAAAGGTGATTCTTTCTGTTTATCGATTATAGCTAACACAGACACATGGAATGACTCAGGAGTTTACCAATCTATAACCCAAAATGAAGTATCCGATTTAAGCAAGAACATCACAAAGCTTAACACCCCAAAGTATCACCTCTCAGATTATTCACTAAAGAAAAGGGAGGGGTTGTTTCTTCATTTTTAATATATTTAGTATTTCGGGTTTAGCCAGGTGTCCACGCACAACTTCACAAATGGTGACAGTAAGAGCCTTCTGATGCAATGCAGCATGAAGTCACAGCACTACCTATTCTGTCTGTACCTCACCAATATCACATCTCTACAACAAACTCCTACTTTATAAGAAACAGAAGAAGATAATGTCTTAAGAAAATGTCTGTAAACCATGGTGTATTCTCTGAAGCATATTGATATCATGAAAAACAGGGGAAAATTCCAGATTGAGAGAAACTAAAAACATGTAACAACAAAATCCAAATTATTAACCTTGATTGGATCATGGATCAAAAAAACTATACAAAACACAATGGGAAACTAGATTTAACAGGCTAAAGAAAATGAGACCTGAACTATCATGGTATTTACAGCTTACTGTCAATGTATCAACAAACAATAATAATAATAAATGACAAATATGCATATCTGTGTATATATATATGTGTGTGTGTATGTATGTATATATATGTATGTATATGGGCAAACACCCACATACATAGATACAAAGAAGCTAAAATGTGGTCTGTTTCTTCAAGCTGTTAAATTCAACATCCTACTTGGTAAATTTTCTACAAGCATGAAATTTTTCTGAGAAAGCAGTTGCTAAACTTTCCCATCTAAAGATCACATTACAGTACCTGGTTCTTGAATGACGTCCACCTTTCCCACACTGATCTGAAGTGTTTCTCCATTCTTTGCAAAAGTCTCCCATTCAGAATCAGTCTGCTGGCAAGATGGACACCAGGGGGCATAACTGTAAAATCAGAAGAACTAATCAACACAAAATACATGGAGCAAAATCTATAAACAAAATTAATAGATTATTCAAAAATAAATTCCTAACAAAAGAGGAGAATAAAAGCAAGCTGTCCAAAGTCATTTGACATATAAAAACAAGACTGTATTTCCTTCTTATGATTCTATATACAAATATTAATTCTATCAAAAAATGAGAACTTTTTTTCAAGAATTGTCTTAACATATACAACATTTCCTCCATGTGATTTTTATAAATGAATCAAGTTTTATCCCTTTCAATGTAGCTTTGATCTCTGAGGCAAGTATGTTCTGAGTACTCAAAGTAAAATAACTTTCAAGGATGTACCAGTACTAGCCAAGCTAATTCCAGATCTCTCAAAGCTACAAATGCAATAGGCAGAGACCAGAGACCTGTCACTACTGGGTCTCCTAGCATGTTTCCAAGTTTGTAAAGACCTGTGAAAGTTCTTACCTTTTCCAAAAAGAGAAAAGCTACCCAACATTTTTTTCTAAAGAAAAAGTTAAAAATATCTGGGCCTTCAAGCCATATCTGCCTTTTACAAGTACTTTTCAACTAGAAACAAGCAATGACATCTCATATAGGTCTGCAGAGAAAGGAACATCTATGGAAGACCTTAGGGAACAAACAACCAAGAAAGGGTCAACAAATGTTCCAATGTACCAGGGAAATGGTATATGTAAAGAGTCTGGCACAGAGTAAGAGAAGTGAATACACCTACAACAGCCTTAAAGAAAACCAAGGTAAAACACACAAATGGCTGAGTTTTTTTTTTCTCTTAGTGTTGAATCTGCGTGTAAAGTGTGTGAACTAAATTATTTTTCCAAAACAGTATGTTCAAATTCTAGCTCTGGTGCCTGCAAATGTGACTTTATTTGGAGTAGGGTCTTTACACAGATAACTGAATTACAGATCTTAGGAATAGATCATCTTATTTAAGATGGAGCCTACATCTAGTAAAACTCTGACATAGAGAATAGGAAGAATGACATACAATCTCGGATGCAAGGGCTGTAGCTAAAGAGACATAAGAAGCACACACGCACACACCAGCAGCCACAAGAAATTAAGACCAGTACAGAAGGGGCAGTCCAACAGATAATCCAAAGAAAACTAACCGTGATACACCTTGACCCCCGAAGGCCTTTGATCTCCAGAACTATAAAAGACTAAATTTCAGTTCTTTCAAGCCTCCTATGTGGTCTTACATATCTATATGCTCCTGTATGCTGTTACAGCAACCTGAGGTAACTAATGCAGAAAGCAAGGACTTCAATTAAATAAGCCTTACAGGTCTTAAAGCAGTGGTTCTCAATCTCCCTAATGCTATGACCCTTTAATACAGTTCCTCATGTTGTGGTGACCTCCAACTGTAAAATTATTTTCTTCACTACTTCATAACTGTAATTTTGCTACTATTATGAATCATAATGTAAACATTTTTTGGAGCTAGAGGTTTGAAAGAGGGGTGGTAATCTACAGATTGAGAAACACCATCTTAGAGGAATAACCAGAACAGTACTTAATATAAAATATGTGAAAACAACAACAAAAAAACATCATATGGTAGAATTCCACTTGAAAATAATAACATGATATAATTTAAAGAAAAATTAACATTTTTATAATGTCACTAAAGTACACTGCTGCAAGTGAAGAAACATTTTGTTTGGTTTAATGATAATTAAAAAATAAAAGCACTAAAATAAAATGATCATCTTCAAACACTGGAACAGGATATTCAAAGGAGAAAAAGTCACTGGAAACACTTCGAAAAATATTTTAGGACACTATCAATTAAACAAAATTCAGTAAAGTTGGCTTAAGTTGAATGTCTAAGACAAAATAAAGTCAAAATATTGAGGAAATAAATGAAACATTTAAAAAGACTTGATATCACTGTTCCTACACAATGTCATGCCTTTAAAAATAGAAAGCAAGGGGGAAAAGTGATAAACTAATCAAACACTAAGGTTTTGTTTTTGTCCTTGTTTTAGGTACTTATGATAAAGCCTGGGGGCAATACGCACAGTCATTCAGTTATACTTTCTTAGTTCTCGAGACACAGCCTCTTTCTATATACTGTTCATGAGAGCCCACAATGGCCTTGAACTCACTTGTAATCTAGGATGGCTTGGAATTAGCAGCCATCCTGCCTCAAAGCAGAATGTTAGGGTTACAGGCATGTACCGTGCCCAGCTGCAAGCCTTTTAAAATCTCATTGTATAAACATTAACTACTACTTTAAAACACAAGGAAAGCACTAATTAAGTATGCCAAATAACAGAAAATTTAAAATATGAAATTGGGAGACATGTTGATAATTTACATTATTTAAAAATAGATAGGGATGTTATCCAAGACTAGTCAAAAGTACTTATTTTAGAAAAAATACTAATAATTAGGCCATATCCAGAGCAGAAATTTTACTAAAAATGTTTTTATTCACTAAAAAATAGGCAATTTCTTTCTGTCTTGGTTCTAATTTCATTAGTATTTTATAGAGCACTCTTCTGAGTTTTGTTGTTGTTGTTGTTGTCACAGAAATTCATTGGATAACAGATATAGACAATTTATTTAGGAATTACTTTAACAAACACTCAGCAGAACCTGTGACAAAGAAGAAAAAAGATATACTAGGCTTACTGTTCTACAACAAAATGAATTAAATTATAGTGTCAACAAACGATACCTGAACTACACCAAACAAGTGTGGTTGGTTTCCTCACTATATATAGAAGACATTATGTCACAGCAGGTGTCCTGATCCTCTGGCTCTTAAAATCCTTCTTCCTCCTCATCTGTGATGATCCCTGAGCCTCAGGTATAGGGATTATGTTACAGAAGTATCAGTTGGGGTTAGCTCCCCCAGTCTGTTGCTCTCTGCATTAAGATCAGTTGTGGATTTCTGTAATGGTCTCCACTGCTGCAAAACGAAGCCTCTTTGATAAGGGGTGAGAGCTACACTTATCTGTGGACATAAGGATGAGGGTTTAGGATATGATTAGAAAGAAGATATCTTAATTAAGGGAGCCATTTTGGGGGTGGCAAGAGGCTTGGCTCTAGAGCGGTTCCCAGTGTCCACAGGGATGTCCCCAGCTAGGACCCTGAGCAGAGGAGAGGTGCCTGAACTGGCCTTGTCCAGTAGTCAGACTGATGACTATCTTGAATATCACCATAGAAACTTCGTCGAACAACAGATGGAGATAGAGACAGAGACCCACATTGAAGCACTGGACTGAGCTCCCAAGGTCCAGTTGAAGAGCAGGAGGGAGAATATGAGCAAGGAAGTCAGCACTACGAGGGGTTGGTCCACCCACTGAGACAGTGTGCCTGATCTAATGGGAGCTCACCAAATCCAGCTGGACTGGGACTGAACGACTATAGGGTCAAACCAGACCCCCTGAATGTGGCTGACAATTGGGAAAGACTACGAAGCCAATGAGAATGGCACTGGGATTTGTCTCTACTGCATGTACTGGCTTTTGGGGATCCTAGTCTATTTGGATTCATACCTTCCTAAGCCTGGATGGAGGGGGAGGGCCTTGAACTTCCCACAGGGCAGGGTTCCCTGCACTCTCTAAGGACTGGAGGGGGAGGGGGAGGAGGAACAGGAGAAAAGTGGGAGGAGGGGAGGAAGTAGAAATTTTGAATGGTATTATTTATAAAGTAATAAAAAAATAAAGTTTGGCATTATTCAGAAGAAAAAAGAAATTATACTGGCTTAGGAAAGTGGCTACTGCAGACTTTCCTCTGGCTAATTGGCTAGGTTGACAGTAGTAGGCATAAATCCCCTCTCAAGGCAGAGTGGGCCTTAAATTTAATTAGATAGCTGCTAGTTACTCCCAGGATGTTAGTGTTAACTACTGTATGCTTAGGGTAATCTTGACATGCTGTCATTTTAACAGTCTTAGCTTTACAGCTGGATAGGACTACTGCTTCTGGCAGCTGGCATAGCACCTTCAGATACTATGAGACTACTGCTCAGGGAGGAAGCTTGTCAGTTCCAGCTCTATTCTCCCCAGTCCTAATACTAAATTATTTGGTGCCTTCAGCAACCTAGTCTTACCTTAACATTGTGGGAGACAACCAAGGCCAAAAACTATTTCCTAACATTTTAATCATGCATGTAAAGAATAAAAACTTCAGTTGAATGAAAACCTTAGCACCTGCTTGACTGAGGGAACGGGATGCTCCCAGGCACAACGGCATCATGAGCTCCCTGCAAGCAATGACTGTTTCATCCCTTGTACCTAAAACAGGGACTAACAGGATCAAGTCACCAAAAAAAAAAAAAATACACAAATGGGAGATGGCACAAGACATTCTTTGAATGATATTCTTCAAAAGGCTCAATAAAGAAATAATTAAGCTGCATTACTTTTACTTATTCATTCATTTAATCAAAAACTATTGACCACTTGCTACTTAATAGGAAGGCTCTAGAGTTAATCAGGAAAAAAGAAAAATTTTTATTCCCCTATATAAAGTTTACAGTGCAGTGGAAAAGTAAAACAAACTACCTAATACAATAGTCAAATTTATACTTAGCAGTTGTGGTCAGAGCCATGCTAGATAAACAAGGTACTAAAAAAGGGAGGTTTCCTATAGGGAAGGTAGGACATTTATTCATTTATTCAAATGGTAAGAAGGCTCAAAAATGAGCCTGCAACATGGCCTGTCATCTGCAGAAACTAGAGGCGAAAACATGGATGGATCCCTGTTTCCTGAGGAACAGGACCATCCTTTAATGGATGCAGATGAGCAGAGCCTAAACCAAAGCCAGTCAATCAAGCATTCCCCTTATACCAAAGAGCTGCCTAGTCCAAAGTGACAAGTGTCTTATTTAAGACCACTGATAAATGTCTAACCATAGATGAAGTATTCTGTAAGTAGCTACTAAAAAGTCAAATGCTACTCACACTACAGAGCAAACAGACTGCCAGGCCCCTTGAAATCAAGGCTGCACCCCATTCACCTTCATTTTTCCCAAATCCACACCCCTGAACCTGAAAAATGACAATAATTTAGTGATTACCTCTTAAACATTAAAATGTTAAAACATAGCAAGCTATCAAACTAGAGGAAATTCTGTTTGACACGAGCAAGTCAACATCTTCCCTACAGGTATAAGAACAACACTGGAAATACAATAGTAACATTTTGAGGTCCTACAAAAATAAAAGGCATATAGGTAGCTAATCTCAGCTTTGAAACATAAGCAGTCCAAGAATAACGTCAGAAGTTAGGCTTTATAAGAATTAATCTCCTTTAAAAAAGTAAGTCAATTTCACTCAAAATATATTTTATCAGGAGATATTATAGGTAAGCAAATCAAAATTATGCTACATGGATGTCTAGACAGCTTTGACATTTCTTTGGATGTGGGGAGGACACGGCAAAACAGTACAGAGAATGGATATATTTGACAACAGTATTAGCACAGGAATATTGTCAGGGCGGAGGGTGGCAGGACAGGCTAGAGGAGAAACTATGGGAGAGACAGATAACACTAAATGCCTTTTGAAAGCAATACAGAAATCTGCTGTGGAATATACATGAATTTTAAAGAAGTCACCTTATAATGAGGAAACAATGTCCCAACTAAACATACCACAAAGAAAAACACCAATGCCAGAAATGGGCACATCTTGTTGAGTCACAGGGGTCTCAGAGACCCTCCCAAACATCACAGACTATTATCAAGGCTGTTGGTTACCTTCCACAACCTGCTTCTGAAGACACCACTTATTTATAAAATCAAACATGGAGAAATTGAGCTGGTGTCCAGTTAGAAGCTTCAACCCCACTGGCTAGTGTACATGGTGTTGGAAGGGACTTTTCTTACTACTGGAGAACTGTCATCATCAATAATACCTGGCTACAAACCCTGAGACCTACAACAACAACCTGCCGAAAAGATACTGGTGCAATAGCGGAACAAATGTTATAGAAGCAACCAACCACTTTTTAATTGGATCTAAGACCCACTCCATGAAATAGAACCCATTCCTGACATTGCTAAAGTGGCCAAGAATCTAAGATTATATAGGTCATGGGCCTATGGGAAAACCTACTATTATAACTCTGCTAAAAGAACACAGCAATAAAATGACTCCTAATGATTTATTACAATACCTGTAAATCAGAGCACTGCTTGTAACTCAGCACAGAAGCTTCTTCTTGCAGTAGGTGGTAATTAACAGAGACCCACAGCTGGACATCACAGGAAGAGACTTGAAAAACTCAGCCTTAAATGGGATGTCTTTATCAAATCCCTCCCCTTCAAGGCTGAGGATCTATGAGGTCCAGTGGGGACTGAAAGAGCCAGAGGCAGTAGATGACTGGTAGAGGACTCAAGAAAGCAGTGTCTACTGGGAAGCAGACTGATAAGACACTGAAACTTACAAAGGTTCTGAGAAAATGCACAGGACTCGCACAGGTTCAAACTAAACAAAATCCTAACATGGAGAAGTAGATAAAAAGTCTCACCCCTACCCAAGAAGCCACTTGCACTCAACACCTGCTGGAAAAGGGAAAATCATTTTCTTCAGTGAAGTGCCACTGAGTGTATGAACCACACTCCAGGGCAGATCCCATACAAAACAGATTCCATGGATTTTGGCCGCTTTTGTTTTATTCAGTTATTTTTGTTGCTGTTGTTGATTTTTTCTTGTTAGTTTGTTTTGAATTTAACTTTTTGTTGATTTTCTTGTTTGGGTCTATTTTTGAGAGAGAGAGAGAGAGAGAGAGAGAGAGAGAGAGAGAGAGAGAGAGAACATGAAGTTGTTGGGTAGGAAATAGGAAAAATCTGAAAAGATATGGAAGGAAAGAAAGAATATAATTAAGATATACTATGTGAAAAATACTAAAAATTTCTTAAATAAAAAATATAAATTATAATGAAAAAAGACTGTTAAAAAATAATATACCAGGAGCAAAGCAAGTGTTAAAAACCACAAAAAAAGAAAGTAATTAAATGAAAGGTAATATAAACCTAAAGAAATAAAAAAGAGAGACCAAAAAGTGTTTAAAGATGACAAGCATTTATAGTGAGAGAGCAGAACTGTGGAGTAAACACTGTAAAAGAACACATGAAAATAAATGAGAGGAAAGCAAGAGTGCACAACTAATGTATGACATTAAAGAAATGTAAGCAGTAATGGAGTCATTTTGAAGCTTTGTAAAAACATTTCAAAATAAAAATAGTGAATTATCACAAATTCGTTTTAACTGGTATTTCTCAAAGAGAATAACTTCTAAAATTGAAATTCAATTCCAAAGACCACAAATATTGACTCCTTAAAAGGCAAATATATACTAGGGTTTAAGAACAAATGATTAATACCAATATATGCATGAACTGTGTTATAAGATACTATATGACTTGCGCTACAAAAGCAGAGTTACAAAGAAAGGTAGTATATGAACTATCACTTAAAATGATGTCAAAATTTTATCAATACGGTCACAAAGCTTTCTAACACACTTCTTAACAGAAACTAAATAATTTTTTTTCTGCAGACTCCTAATAATCTCCAGTTATAAGACCAGCCCATCTGATAAAGCACTAACTTGGGAGGCCATATAAACATGTGTACTGTATGGATGTTACTATGTATGTGCAATGTTTGCATGTGATTGTACTTATATGTGCATATCTGTGAATATGTTTGTAGGCTAAAGGTCAACATTGCATATTTTTCTCAATTGCTCTCCACCTTATTTTTGAGACAGGGTCTCTCACTGAACCTGGACCTCACCTATGCACTAGACAGCTGACCACAGCACCAGGGATTCTCCCACCTCCACCTACCCAGTTCCAGGATTATAGACACGTACAGTTGTATGCTGGTTTTACATGGGTGTCAGGGATATGAACTCAGGTCCTCATGTTTGTGTGGCATCTCTCTTATAGGCATAGGGGAGGTGCTATTTTGAAAGAAGATTCCAAAATGTATTTATAGTAGGTCTATACTGGTTCATAGACTATGAATATATTTTATATTTAAGTGTTGGACTTTTTCAAAGAATAATCAGGAATGTCATCCAGTAACACAGGAAAATAGATTAAAAAAAATGATAGGAGCCACAGTATGTCTTCTGAAAAGCAGTTTCTCAAAGGTCTTAAACACTGCAAACCTGACATGGTTAACATAAAGCTCACACCTTTAACCCCAGCATGCCAGAGGCAGTGGCAGGATGATCTGATTTCTGGTTTACAAAGCCAGTTCCAGTCCAACCAGAAATACATACTGAGACCCTATCTAAAACAGGGAAAAAAAAGTTTCTCTCAAAAATAATATGACTTAAATTCTATCCAAATAGGTTATTCATATCCATAGCCGTAACAGTTTCACGGGTTTCATGATTTAACAAAAGCATTCCATTTTGAGGTATAAATATCTCCATAGTTTGAGGGAATAAATACGCATTGTGTTCTTTAATTTACATATTTTCCCTGATCTCACAGGAAGGTATCCACACCACATTCATTTGCTTGCAATCTAAATTGAATAAATCAAAATATGGCCTTGAATAAACAAAAAAAAAAATACTATTTTAGAAGATTCTAGATCTTCAATGTAAAACTAATTACCAAACAGTAGTGGTAAATCTTTATTATCTGAGACCATGGGCTATGGCAATGTGGTCTCATAAATTATGTTTCTGGCCATTTTTCATTTTCCTTTGATGCCCACGGAGTCTATGAAGTCTATTCAGATGACTGTACCTCGTCAACGTCATCTCTCAAGTGATCCCTTACCTGGCGTTAATTTTATGCTACAATCAACATAAATCCCTTCCCTTGTCCTGACAGTTCCCCATAACCTTCGAGCAAGACACTACCCACGACCACTCATGGACTTCCTGTTGTTCAAAGGGAGGCTATTTGTTAATGGCCTTTTCTTTATGTCATTGGCGCAATCCAAATATGACAGGGCCTCAAAGTCCTGTCTCTACAAATAATGGCATCAGGATTTAAACATCTTACTTAAAACTCAGCCACTCGTGTTTATGTTTTGTTTTTTTGTTTTTTTTGTTTTTTTTTTTTTTTTTTACTTCACGATGACATCTCAAGGTCTTCAAAGGGGAAACTGGTATTTCACCCAAACTGCTCTTCCTCCCCACGCTGCAAAGGCTTATTTCAACACACACCCACCTAGGTGTACGCTATCACTGAGCGCTTTTCTAGTATTGGTACACCCCCCTAAGAGCGTGTCGTTCTCTTCCTCCCTTCCCGACTCCTCCCTTGGATAAGTTGCCTCCTCCGTTTCCAAGACACTTTTGGCTACAGCAATGGTGAAAGGGGATGGGGAAGGACGCTGGCTCGTCTTCCTCACCCGCAGCCTGACGGCCCCGGGCAGTGTGCGCATGCTCACTGCGAAAGGCCGCAGCCCGCCACCGCAGGTGCCGGCAGGGGGGTCGCGGCCCCGGGTCGGACCCGGGGAGGACGGCGGGCACCGCGAGGATGAAACGACGTGCGGGGCGGGTAGGCACACTCACAATTTCAGCATCCACTCGCCTTCCATCACCAGCGTCCAGTTGGAGGCGGTCATGGGCTGCACCCGGCTCTCCGCCGCCGGCTGCGCGGCCTGCTCGAGGCCATCGGCCGCTGCCGCCGCGAGCCAGGCGGCCAGGAGCACGGGGACACAGAGGCTGCCTGTCATGGTGGCGCCCGTGAGGTAGCTCACTGAGGGCAGGGAGCAGGAACCGGGTACCTCAAGCCAAGCGGGCGCCCTCCCAGAGGTCTGAGAGCCCAACCCGCCTCGGCGACGCGCTCCCAGCCACGCCTGCCGCGCCGCCGCCCGCAGCCTCTTATCTGCCCGCCCTGCGAGGCCACGCCCAGCCACCATGGCCACGCCTCCCTTTCCCCGCTGCTGGAGGACGGTTGCCAAGACAACCGCCTGCTGTTTGCCAAGGCAAGGACCTGCTCTTCCTGCTGACGGTCTGGCTGAAAAAAAAAACAGATAGATGACCGACCCAATGCTGTTTAAGCGACCTTAGCACCCCTTCGCTGGCTGTTTCCTTAAAGGGAAGCGTGGCTGGTGGCTAAACAAACCCATTCCCCTTTGCATGATAACACAAATGTGGAAGACCTGCGGAGCGAACCAAGGCGACTGGAGGGAGGGACAGTTTAAGAGCCCTCTGAAGGCACACACTGGGGCAGCACCGCCCAGAGAGATAAAATTAGATTAATGATAAAACTAGATTATGAGATCTTTTAAAAAGTAAACCTTTTAAATTTTATAGATGTTTAGAATCTGCGTACTTACAAAATGAGTCAGTGCGTGAGTATTGCTAGTTGCAATGAGATTTTTCTCTTTTTCTCCCAGCTACAATTTTGCCAAACCTAGAAACAGAATAGTGGTACACGATTTCTGTATCTTTACAGATACACGCTAGGCAATTCCTATCCTGAAGATGTAAGACTTATTACAATTAGAGGACCCCTGAACTTCTCTAGAGGTCTAAGTTCTAAGATTCAGTAGTGTGCTTAGTACAGCATAAAAAAATGCGGTTTACGTTCCTAGGCTACAACACGGCTACACAACTCAAGAGTTAATGTCAACTTAATGTCAACCTCTAGTCAGTAATATAGAAAAGATCAATTTTGCATATAGAGATGTCTGGATAAGACGTCATGGTGTACACATCAAGCCTACAATGTCAATAGAAAGCATTTTACTGTACTTATTAAAGATTCATAATCAGGTCGGTCAAAGATGGCACATGCCTTTAACCCCAGCACTCGGGAGGCAGAGGCAGGCAGATCTCTATGAGTTCAAGGCCAGCCTGATCTACAAGAGCTAGTTCCGGGACAGGCTCCAGAGCTATAGAGAGACCCTGTCTTGAAAAAAAAAAAAAAAACAGGAAGTCTATCATTTTCTTTTAAATGCAGAATATACAATTGATTCTCAAATTTATGATAGTACCTGATAACAATTGCCATTGACTGTGCTGAGTGCAATAAAGATGCTGTAACTGTGTTTTTAAGTCATTCCTAGATATAGACAGCAACATATTTATGCCATGAAATAATATGATGCCCTGGGTCTGGTGGCACTGAAAGACCCAGATAAATCCAGACCTTTCTAGCAGAAAACATAGAGCCAAACATCTAGAAGAAAAAAAATAGAGCTAAAATATCTAAGCAGGGAGAGAAGAATCGAAAATCTAGATTAGCTGGTTCAGTGACTCTGTTTCAGGAACTAGCTGAAGATAAAGTTAGATGATAATCTTGAGAATAATCTTGAGAAACAGGGAGTTACCTCCTTGTGGTTATCACTGGTATTTTCAGGATTTTTCAATGATCACTGGTATTTTCAGGATTTTTCAATGATCACTGGTATTTTCAGAATTTTCCAATGATGCCCTCCCTACCTCCTTTGGATTACTGGGTTATGGTTTCTTCTCTTAAATACCCCTTCTCCCAGCTACCTGGGGTCAAACTCTCTACCCCTGCGTGGGAAATGAGTTTCGGCCCCAGTGCACTGATTCCTATCCTGTCAATAAACCTCGTGTGATTGCAGCAGGGACAGTCTCCTGTGAGTTGGGGGGGGGGGGGGTCCTGTTATTCCAAGACTTGAGTGAGAGTCTCCGCACTCCAGAGGTCTTTCAGCACAGCTACCTGAGAAGCTTCTGTGGGAGTATCACAACCTGGGCGACTGAGATATTGTTTAAGAACAGTTAGAAGGAGGGTGAGGATGTGGCCTTTTCATAGAGCATTTTCACAGCAGGCAGGAGGCCTTGGGTTTCCTCCTAGGAAGCACATAAACACTGTGCAGGCACACACACACACACACACACACACACACACACACACACAGAAGGAGAGTGAGAGACAAATTATGCTTAGAATTAATTGGCGTTGCAGTATTTTGGGGCCAAGGGTGTGAAACTGTTAATAATGAGATATTAAAGAGAAGCATTAGAGGTACCAAAGAAACCCATTACTAATACATTTCTTATTTATAGCTCAAATTGTTTTTTTAAAAAATCACGTCTATTGAATTTCAGGTGGCTTTGAAGAGGATGGTAAGGCACAACTCAGCAAGGCCATGTGGAAGGGGTTTTGCCTCTAGGAGCCACAGACTAGGAAAGGGGAACAGCGGCCTTCACCCGTGATGATATCTGAGGCCGAGACTTCCTACTCACAAACATTGGGCCTAACTCTAGCTTCTGTTTAAATACAGATGATATTAAAACCTGCTCCAAAAGGTAGCTGTGCAGATGCTAGAAGTATAGTTTACATGGTATGATTCAGGAAAACTGGCTAATATCTGTAGGCAGCAGCACACTATGACCGTTATAGGGCTGTCTGTTTTTGCTTGAATTCAAAATCACTTAGCTGTCACACGGTCTCCTTCATAAGGCAACTTTGTTTCTGTCTGCCATTCCCATAATCCCCAGTACTCCATTAACCAAAAGCTATGTCCAGTTCTGAAGCACACTGTGTATCTTGTCTCCATCACCCAATGCAACTCACACCCTACCTCTGACAGACCTGGACCAATGAGGTGCTAATTTCAAAACCATACCTCTGTCCTAGGCAACAATGACACTTTCTTATCACCCTATTGTCCCCTCTTTTCTCCGAAGCCCACTAAGAAGCACCCAAGGTTGTGGAGTTACAGTGTCTCCTCAGTCCTGGACTCCAGCCTTACAGTAGTACTTGGCAGAGGCAGTTTCTGGCAGGACTCTGAAGGTCAGTCACCCAGTTCCTGATATTCAGAATATCTTCTTTTTCTCTCCACTTCTAACAAAATACAACAGAAGCAATGAGTTAGATCTTCCCACTTAAGACCACAAAAACCCTGGGACGCCCATCCTGCTGGAGCTCGCTGTTCCCCTTGCTTTCTGACTTTGATACCCTAATTAGGGAAACAATGGAGTGAGGCCTCAGGTCAACATCCCTAAGGAACTGACGCCTCTATACAATTGCCTGCTGGGAACTCAACCTCAGGGACAGTCCTGTGAGTGATCAAGATGTGGATCCTTCCCCAGTTCCTGTGAGACTCAGCCTGATGAGTGATCCAGAACCTCAAGGTGAAGATCCTGTATGCACAGACACTGAACATTCAAGAGATTATGAGCTTCCCGGATTTGTAATAAGTTGTAGCACACATCATTTTTTTTTTACATAAGCATGCTGACCCTGTTTGACAAGATTGGTGTTGTAACATGCCTGGCAGAAGGAAGACATTCTATAGGGCCTCTGTGTCTCTCAATCTGACTATCAGATTACTGAAACACTAGACCACCAAAGAGAGGGATATTTCCCCAGGAATCTCATGGCAAGAGAAGCCTTGTTTTGTCATCCTGAACTCTTCCAGGAAGTTTCACAGTGCTAACAACTCATCAACCCACCTTAGAGGATGAGCCTGAAGCCCGGACAGTGATGTTGACACCATGACCAGGACTGCTTGGAAGTGTACATCCTTGGTCTTTTATCTAAACTTGGATCTCACTTCAGGACCCCAAAGACAGACGGACTTAAGGGGTTCATGGGATCTCTCTGTCCCTCTGCCCAACGTGGCCACCTTGAATTAATCTCCTTTTTCTGCTTTCCACTTTTGATTTGGTGCTTTCAATTGTCCTTTTGAGGACAACAATGATACCAAGTCTCTGTGCCCAGAAGCATCTGCTATCAATTAATACTGCCAGTTGTGCTATATTGATCAATACACACAGTACTGTGCATTTTAAAATATAGTAGGATAGAGTATATGTCACACCATTTAGGTTAACCACCAATGATAAATATTTACCTCACATTCCTGAGGGGGAGGAGTCCTGATTTCTCGAGTTTGTCAATTTTTATGATTTAATCATTCACATCATATCTATCTCAAGCATCAACTCAATATATGTACTAGTTAGTAAAATGTCTGAAATTTGCCCATGCGTGTGTGCGCGCGTGTGTGTTAATTACATGCATGAACGTGAGTATGTGTGCTCCCTGTGAGCACATGTGGAGGCCAGCGCAGCAGTTCCAATGTTTTGATCTAGCACTGTCTACCTTACTGCCATGAGACAAAGACTCTCTCTGAATTGGAAGTTCCAGGTTTTGGGGTTTTGATGAGGCTGCCCAGCTCCACCCTTAACATTGGGCACATAGGCACTTACAGCCTGGTGTTTTCCCTGGGTGCTAGGGACGTGAACTGAGGTACTCGGGCTTGCAGAACAAGTACTGTTACCCGCTGAAGCCCAGCAGTTAGTTTTTGGGTTGCTTTGGTGCAAATTCATTGCAAACACTCAGAATAAACAACATACTAACCACTTAACCATATGCTTACCCTGCGGTCACTCTAAATGCTAGCGGCACATAAAAACTGTCAAAGCTGCAAGGGCAAAGACCGGCTTCAGCTATCTCCTGCTGTAGCCCGAGGAGTTCGTTTTCTAAGACCTCTTCTCAGCAAACATGAACTCATGGCCTCATTGCAGCAAAGAATTTCAGGATGAGTCAATGCGGAGCAGTCAGAGTTCACTGAATGTTTAACATAGGTCTTAAGCACAGGGGTTAGTAGAAAGGAGCGCTCAGGGAAAGAGTACCACATATGGAAGTGTGGGTTTGACTTCTCAAGGGAGAGTCAGGTCTCTAATATGCTATGTATACACACCTATGACTTTCTAAGTTACAGTTTAATCTGTATAATTTTCAAAAGTAGTGTTTAAAAGCTGAGTAGAATGACATTAGCTCGTTTCTTTATTTCTCTTATTTAAAATATTTTGCTTTTACCTGAAATTGTGGGGTGGCATTATGAGGTGTATTATTGAGATTTAGGCATGAGTATGCAT